GTTTTCGTATAGTTTATTTATCGTGATTCGCGTTTTCATGGTCTTAGGTGATAAAATGGAAAACATATTAACAAAATAAGAGATGATTTTCATTACTTTTAACGATGAAAAGACCTTGAAACGGAGCTCAAAAGTAGCGGAAATTTTCGATGTTTTTACCAATGTTCAAGAGTAAATAAACACAAACCACACACACTCCATACACGTCAACTGGGAGTCCGAATATTCTTCACTAGTGCTACTGAATATTATTTATACTTTTTACAATAATGCAGTCGTCTGCATAACAGTAAATTTTGTATTTTTTTGTATGAATAAAAAATCAAAATAGAAAGCAATAATAATATAAGAGGGGGCTAGAGATGTGACTAATGGAACAGAGCAATATGTTATGTGAGTGCCAAGAATGTCTACTTGTTTATTCTGGACCCTATTTTGAAATTGGCATCTTTTTTATTTTGCGTGAAATTGGCAATTGGGTAGTCCAAATTAGTAAATGGGAGGTTTCTTGTACTCAGCTGATAGATAAAATGGAGTTCTAAAGAAATAGCTATGAGTTTGGTCAACTGGAACAATGGAATTGGCTGAAATTGGGCTGCAAAGTCGGCGAAATCGCCGATACGCCAGATTCGCCGAGACCGCTAAACTTCGCGGGAGCATACATTCCAACGAGTTTTCGACCAAATTTCGAACTTTTGGTGTCATTACCATCGGGAAAAGATTCTCTATCATTTCATAAGAAAAAATAATTTTTTTTTTTTTTTTGCAAAAATTGAGCGACAATAGAATGACAGTTTCAGAGAGGGCTGAAACAGTCAAAGGGTTAAATGTTAAAGGGGAAGAAACTGAGGCAGTAATTTCATCACTGGTCAGGGAGGTAACCTTCCTTTTAGGAGTGAAGAAGAGCAGATTGTACAGTGTGGGGGAGGATGTGAGCATTACGTAAAAGAAAGGTGGTAAAGCAAGCTGGAACTGATGGGTCATGACTGAAATGTTAAAAAGCAGGGGGGAATAGGTTGGTTGGAGTGGTTGGTTGTACTTTTGTTTTAATAAATGTATGAAAAGAGGGGAAGGTACCTAGGATTGTGGAGAGCATGTTTATCCCTTTATATTAAGGAAAGGGGACAAAAAGACTGTAAAAATTATAGAGGAATAAGCTTTACTGAGTATAACCAGGAAATGTACGGTAGGGTTATAATTGAAAGAATGAGAGGGTAAGAAGATATGGAGATTGGCGGAGGAGCAAGGAGGAGTCAGAGTGGGTAGGGGGATGTGTAGATCAGGTGTTTACATTGAAGCATATATGGCACAGTATTTAGATAAGATAGGGAATTTTTATTGCATTTTTTGGAGATAGAAAAGGCATATGATAGAGTGGATAGAGGTAAGCAATGTGGCAATGTTGCAATATATGGAATAGGAGGTAAGTTATTAATTGCTGTAAAGCGTTTTTATGAAGGAGAGTGAGGCTCCAGTTAGGGTGGTGTAGAAGAGAGGGAGACTACTTCCTGGTAAAAGTAGGTCCTTAGACAGGGATTTGTAATGTCACCAATGGTTTTTTTAATATATTTATAGATGGGTTGTAAAGGAAGTTAATCCTAGGTGTTTGGGAGAGGGGTGGATTAATTTATGGGGAATCAAATTCAAAATGGGAATGACACAGTTACTTTTTGCTGATGAATACTGTGGCTTAATGGGAGATTCTAAAGAAAAATTGCAAAGGTTAGTGGATGAGTTTGGGAATGTGTGTAAAGGTAGAAAGTTGAAAGTGAACATAGAAAAGAGTAAGGTGATGAGGGTGTCAAATGATTTAGATAAAGAAAAATTGGATATCAAATTGGGGAGGAGGAGTATGGAAGAAGTGAATGTTTTCAGATACTTGGGAGTTGATGTGTCGGCGGATGGATTTATGAAGGATGAGGTTAATCATAGAATTGATGAGGGAAAAAAGGCGAGTGGTGCGTTGAGGTATATGTGGAGTCAAAAAACGTTATCTATGGAGGCAAAGAAGGGAATGTATGAAAGTATAGTAGTACCAACACTCTTATATGGGTGTGAAGCTTGGGTGGTAAATGCAGCAGCGAGGAGACGGTTGGAGGCAGTGGAGATGTCCTGTTTAAGGGCAATGTGTGGTGTAAATATTATGCAGAAAATTCGGAGTGTGGAAATTAGGAGAAGGTGTGGAGTTAATAAAAGTATTAGTCAGAGGGCAGAAGAGGGGTTGTTGAGGTGGTTTGGTCATTTAGAGAGAATGGATCAAAGTAGAATGACATGGAAAGCATATAAATCTATAGGGGAAGGAAGGTGGGGTAGGGGTCGTCCTCGAAAGGGTTGGAGAGAGGGGGTAAAGGAGGTTTTGTGGCAAGGGGCTTGGACTTCCAGCAAGCGTGCATGAGCGTGTTAGATAGGAGTGAATGGAGACGAATGGTACTTGGGACCTGACGATCTGTTGGAGTGTGAGCAGGGTAATATTTAGTGAAGGGATTCAGGGAAACCGGTTATTTTCATATAGTCGGACTTGAGTCCTGGAAATGGGAAGTACAATGCCTGCACTTTAAAGGAGGGGTTTGGGATATTGGCAGTTTGGAGGGATATGTTGTGTATCTTTATATGTGTATGCTTCTAGACTGTTGTGTTCTGAGCACCTCTGCAAAAACAGTGATAATGTGCGAGTGTGGTGAAAGTGTTGAATGATGATGAAAGTATTTTCTTTTTGGGGATTTTCTTTCTTTTTTGGGTCACCCTGCCTCGGTGGGAGACGGCCAACTTGTTGAAAAAAAAAAAAAAAAAAAAATATTAGGTATAACATAAATTACATAGAAGCATGATAAAGACACCCAGATTAATAAAAACTGACATTACAGTATATAGAGAGGTACTGAGGGGAGGGATAAAAAAAAATGACCATGACTATTACAGAAAAAGTTACATGCCTGAAGGGTAACTATAGAAGATCACTCTTACCATGTGCAAAGACTGAAAAAAGTGCGATTTTCTCGAAAAAAAAAATTTCCCAAGTATGTAATCAGCTATGCATGCGTTTCCTGGAATATCTCAGAAGTAAGTCATTGACCTATTTCATGTTGTATTACAGTTAATAATTAACAGATTGAAAGGAATTTCCCAACAAACATAAAACTGAATGTTTTAATTTTGGGTGGTGACACTTTTGAAGCGTCAGTAAGTGGTGATTCCTTGATTAGCGACAAATTCATTTACCGATGGGGTCTTAGGCCCCTAACTCCATCGTTAAGTGAGGAGAGGCTGTATCTACATTCTGAAAGAGGGGCAGTGATGTTATAGTTTAACCCTTTCAGGGTCCAGAGACCAAATTTCCAGGTCTCTGGACCAGGGTCCAAGAATTTTCAAAAAATAATTTTGCTATTTTTTTCTTATGAAATGGTATAGAATCTTTTTCTGAAGGTAATAAAACAAAAAGTACGAAATTTGATGGAAAATTGACAAAATTATGCTTTCACGAATTTTGATGTGTCAGCGATATTTACGCATTGGTGATTTTGCCGAATTTGACTCCGATTTTAGGCCAATTACATTATTCCAGTCGACCAAATTCTTAGCTATTTCGTTAGTATTACTTCTATTCTGTCGATTGAGCACAAGAAATCGCCAAGTCAAATGTTTCAACTACAAAATAAAGTGATTGGAAATTGGTAATTTGGCCAATTTAATGCAAAGTTCAAAATATTCCAACTTCAAAATAGGGTTCAGAATAAACAATGCATGCATTCCTGGCACTAAACTAAAATTTCCTCTGTTCATTATTTACATTTTCAGGCTTTACAAATGAATTCCATTTTGATTTTTTATTCTCAGTGAATTTTTATTCAAACCAAAAGATAGAAGATTTACTGTTATGCAGTATTGTAATAATTGTATAAATAATATTGCCACATTTGTGAACGTATATTAGACCCACCAGCTGGTGTGTATTAGACGTATGAGGTCATTTGTTAACTTTTGAACATCGGCAAAAACTTAACATTTCCACTACTTTGAGCTCAGTTTCAAGCCATTTTCAGTACTAAAACCAATTGAAATCATCTTGATTTCTGTAATATATCTTCCATTCTATCGAATGAGACCAAGAAATCGCAAATACAACTGTAAAAAACGTACAAAAAAACACTGCAAAGTTGCTGTTTTAATAAATAATTACCGTCTCAGTTTTTTGTCTCATTGTGACACTGTGTGCTGCAGGATTTGTTTTATGTGGTGCACACATACCACATAGATGTATTCTCTCATATCTAGACCCAAATTTGCCGCTCACAGCTTATCAGAGTGAGCTGAGCTCATGGCGTAGATCTACAGTTTGGACCCTCAATGTAAAGCAGTAGATCTACAGCATGGACCCTGAAAGGGTTAAAAGGGCATTTGAATTGTGATCACTGAACTTCTGGAAAGACAGCTATTGAATGAATGATGGCAAATATGTTAATTTTGGGTCCCTACTTCAGTGAAAGATGGCTAGTGTGTTAAAATAAAGTATGTAGCATCGACTCGTGCTTTACTCTCTTGTGTTATAGTCCATGCTGGAAAACCAAGTTTTTTTTTTTTTTTAATCGAGCTGTGATAGTACTGTTTTAATGCCTCTGAATTGCACAATCTAAATTTCCTTAACACTGATTGATCTTCTGCAAAAGCAGGATTATAAAAAAAATAATTCACCATACTCATTCAGATAATTGTTTTGCCAGAAGTGACAGCTATCTGAATAAGTAATGGTGAATGTGTTTCCTGTTTTGGGTCATCCTGCCTTGGTGGAAGATGGTTGGTGTATTAAAAAAAATAGTTGTGATATTTCACTAGTCTTTTTGCTGATCAGAATGATTAGAAAGTAAATTATTGTTTGAATATCATTTATTTTTAAAAAAGTTTCCTATGTATTATTTTATTCTCATTTGTTTCTCTTAAATGCTGTCTTAGATCATCATATTGGGTTGGGGTCTGTTCTAGAAAATAAGTGATATAATGATTTTTTATTTTACTGTCTAGGGAGTAAAAGGCATTAAAGGAGAAGATGGAGAAGATGGCATCAGTGGAATTCCTGGATCTCCAGGAACACCAGGCAGGCCTGGTCCGAAAGGAGAGCGAGGTCTTGATGGCTTACCAGGAACCAAAGGCTTTTATGGTTTGCCAGGATCGCCTGGCCGCTCAGGGGATAAAGGAGCCCCAGGAGACCTCGGAGTTGCAGGTCGTAAGGTGAGAAACATCAAGGCAGATTTATTAAGTTATGATGAATGATTTTGAACATTTGACAGTGATATTCATTATAACATAAAACAGATGTAGACTGGCTTGGGCAGCAGGGTGAATTTTTTTATTTTTAGGTATCATCAAAGGTGTACTTTTAAGTGGTTACCTGAATTATTTTTCTTCCTCCAAATTTTTTGTTACCTTCTGTTTATGATTTAAGAATGCCTCATTTGATCAACTTCAAATTTTCAATTTTGATGTGCTGGAATTAGAAAAATGTTCTTGCAGTTATTGGCATGTGGAGTTTCCCTGTGAGAAATGCTGTACATGTATAGTCCATTCCAGCATTCTTGGAATGGGTCAAATAACTCCTCCTTTGATTGGCTTCAAACATTCAACACTGTTGTGTCCTACTTAAAGGAAAGTTGAAAGTGTTGTTCATATGTGTAGGTGCACATTTACCAATTTTGTATGTAAAATAGTGTGGAATGTTTTTCTGTTCAGCCACATTATATATATAATTGAATAGATTGTATCTCTTTTGAACAACTTCAGTCTTCAATGACTCATGCATCTTACAGACAGAATAGTATTCAATAGGTTTAGTCTCTTATAGATACAAATTTGACCATTTGCTAATACAATGGACCCTTGACCAGTGATATTAATCCGTTCCTGAGAGCTCATCGTTAATCGAAATTATCGTTAGTCGAGTTAATTTTCTCCATAAGAAATGATGGAAATCAAATTAATCTGTGCAAGACACCCAAAAGTATTGAAAAAAATTTTTTTACCACATGAAATATTAATTTTAATACACACAAACTGAAGAAGACATGTACAATTACATGACACTTACCTTTATTGAAGATCTGGTGATGATTGATGGGATGGGAGGAGGGGAGAGTGAGGATGGTGTTAGTGTTTAGAAGGGGAATCCCCTTCCATTAGGACTTGAGGTGTCAAGCACTTTTCTGGGCTTACTTCCCTTCTTCTTTTAATGGCACTAGGACCAGCTTGAGAGTCACTGGACCTCTGTTGCACAACATATCTGTCCATAGAGGCCTGTACCTCCCATTCCTTTATGACATTCCTAAAGTGTTTAACAGCATTGTCAGTGTCACAATTAAACACTTGTTCATGTTTCAATTCTTCACTGTCTGTGTACTCCTTGAATTTCCTGCACATATTTTTCAGCTGCTTTTTGGTCCGAACTGGCAGCCTCACCATGCCTTATCACACTATGTATGCCACTACGATTCTTAAATCTCTCAAACCAACCTTTGCTGGCCTTAAATTCACTCATATCACCACTAGTTGCAGGCATTTTTCTAATTAAATCATCATGCAACTTCCTAGCCTTTTCACATATGATCACTTGAGAGATGCTATCTCCTGCTATCTGTTTTTTGTTTATCCAAACCAATAACAGTCTCTCAACATCTTCTATCACTTGCGATCTCAGTTTCGAAAACATAGTTGCACCTTTGGCAAGAACAGCTTCCTTGATTGCCGTTTTCTTGGTCACAATAGTAGCGATGGTTGATTGGGGTTTTGTGTACAACCTGGCCAGCTCGGAGACAGGCACTCCACTTTCATACTTAAGTAGCAATAATCTCTTTCTTCATATCCATAGTAATTCTCACGCTTTTTGCTGTAGGGTTGGCACTAGAAGCTTTCTTGGGGTCCATGGTGACTTATTTTGCAGGTGCAATCACTAAAAACGCTATGATAATATGAAATGTTCCGATTGTATGTTTTGATGGGACCTCGGTGGCTGGCTGGCTTGTAAACATTGGCCACAAGTGGACGCGTCTCGAACGGAACGAATCGTGTTGGTCGAGTTTTTTAGCGCTAGTCGAGGCAAAATTTTTGCGATTAAAATGTATCGCTAGTCGGATTTAATATTAGATGATGCCATCGTTGGTCGAGGGTCCACTGTATAGTTGAAGCATTACTTTCCATGTAATAACAGGTCAGCTTCAGACTTTTAGCACTGGTGTGTTCTCCTGAATGGAAGATTCATGTTTTTATTGGGTTATATAAGTCCTAATTTATTACTAAATGCAAAAAGAAAAGCTTTTCGTTTTTAGGTTACCTTGCCTTGGTGGGATACAGCCGGTGTGTTGGAAAAAAGAAGTCCCAATTTTCCAGTTTAATTAAACAAGTGGTTCTAATATACATTCATGATAGAAGGAATTGGAACTACCTTACCTTATAGGGGACTATGTATATACACCCCTATTGGCTCAGAGCTCCATGATGATGATGTTGATTTTCATCTTTATGTCTTACACATACAGTGGTCCCCCGCTTTTCGTAGTTCCTGGCAATCATAAAATTCGCCAATCATAGAGGTATTTTCGTATAAACGTGGACTCGCTTTTCATAGGTTGACTCGCGAGTCGTAGTTCGTCCGGGATGCGTACCCATGGCATGAGCCAGGGCGGCAGCCAGTCTGGCATTGTTTACCAGTGAGCAAAGGTCCCCTCACGCGCTCCAGCGAAATATTTCATAATATTCCATTTATTTTAGTGCTTGCAAGTACTAAATAAGCTACCATGGCTCCAAAGAAAGCTCCTAGTGCCAAGCCTGTGGTAAAGAAGGTGAGAAATACGATTGAATTTAAGAAAACCATCATTGAACAATATGAAAGTGGTACAAGTGTGGCCAAACTGTCCAGGATGTATAAGAAACCCTACACAACCTTATGTTCCATAGTGGCCAAGAAAAATGAAATAAAGGATGCTGTTGTTGCAAAGGGAGTAACTATGCTGACAAAAATGAGATCACAGTACTGGAAGAGGTTGAGAAGTTATTATTGGTGTGGATAAATGAAACAATTAGCAGGAGATACTCTTATGACTTCGTTTATTGTGAAAAGGCTAGGCAGTTGCATGATTTGGTAAAGAAATTGCCTGCAAATAGTGGTGAAGTGAGTGAATTTAAGGCCAGCAAAGGCTGGTTTGAGAGATTAAGAACCGTACTGGCATACACAGTGTGGTAAGGCATGGTGAGGCTGCCAGTTCGGACCACAAGGCGGCTGAAAAATATGTGCATGAATTCCAGGAGTACATAGAGGCTGAAAGACTGAAACCTGAACAAGTGTTCAATTGTGACGAAACAGGCCTCTTTTGGAAGAAAATGCCAAAGAGGACCTTCATTACACAAGAGGAAAAGGCAATGCCAGGACACAAGCCTATGAAAGACAGGCTGACACTAATGTTCTGTGCTAATGCTAGTGGGGATTTCAAAGTGAAGCCATTACTAGTGTACCATTCTGAAAATCCCAGAGTGTTCAGGAAAAACAATGTTATGAAGAGTTAAATTGTGTGTTGTTTTGGAAATCTAATAGTAAGGCATGGGTCACGAGGGAAATTTTCGTCGAGTGGTTCAATGAAGTGTTTGGCCCTAGTGTGAAGGAGTATCTCCTGGAAAAGAAATTGGATCTCAAGTGCCTGCTAGTAATGGACAATGCACCTGCTCATCCTCCAAACTTGGATGACCTAATTTTCGAGGAGTTTGGGTTCATCACAGTAAAGTTCTTACCCCCAAATACCACTCCTCTCCTCCAACCCATGGACCAGCAGGTTATTGCAAACTTTAAAAAACTCTACACAAAAGCAATGTTTCACAGGTGCTTGACTGTGACCACAGACACTCACTTGACCCTAAGGGAATTTTGGAGAGAACACTTCAGCATCCTCCACTGCATAACCCTTATAGGTATGGCTTGGGAGGTAGTGACTACCAGGACTTTGAACTCTGCCTGGAGAAAATTGTGGCCAGATTGTGTCGACAAGAGGAATTTTGAAGAATTTGGGACTGACCCTAATGAGCCTATGTCTGTTGTAAAATCAATTGTGGCACTGGGGAGTTCCATGGGGTTGGATATGAGTTTGGAGGATGTGGAAGAATTGGTGGAAGACAACAATGAAGAGCTCACCACTGAGGAGCTGCAAGAGCTTCAGCAGGAAGAGCAACACATCGCAGCTCAGAATCTTGCTGCAGAGGAGGAGGAAGAGAGATGGAAGAAGGTGCCTTCTTCAGAAATTAAAGAGATTTTTACTATGTGGGGTAAGATGGAAAGCTTTATGGAGAAACATCACCCTAACAAGGTTGTTGCAAGCCAGGTTGGCAACATGTACAGTGACAAAGTCTTGGGCCATTTTAGGGAAGTGTTAAAGAGACGCCAGAAACAGAGCTCTCTCCACAGTTATTTTGTGAGACAGGACTCCAGTGACTCTCAAGGTGGTCCTAGTGGCATTAAAAAACAGAGAAGAGAAGCAACCCCAGAAAAGCAAATGGTACCTGAGGTGTTGATGGAAGGGGATTCCCCTTCCAAACTATAAACAATCCACTCTCTCTCCTCCTCCAGTCTCCCATACACTAAGAAGAATCTCCAATAAAGGTAAGTGTTATGCTGTTAATGTTTCATTCATGATTTCCCATTGTATTGTTTATGTGCTACATGCATATTTCATGTTAAAAATTTTTTTGTTTTAATACTTCTGGGTGTCAGGAACGGATTAATTGTATTTACATTATTTCTTATGGGGAAAATTGATTCGTGAATCGTAAATTTCGTTTATAGTAACGGCTCCAGGAACGGATTAATTACGAACAACGAGGGACCACTGTATTTCATCCCCACCCACTGTTGTGCTTCATTATCATTTCTTCCTTTTCATGCCCCTTGCCTGCCCTTTCTTCTACTTTATTTTCTATCATTTATTGACATGCTTATAGTATTTCTGACCATCCTCCAGCTTTATTTTTTATTTTTCATATTATTCCCTCCTTTCCTATAGTTTTAGCTACCTAATATCATCCCTCTCCTGTTTTATTTCCTCTTGTCACACTTCTGCTGTATTCTCTTTCCCATTTCTAATTACTTACCTCAATTATTCAATTACGTACAATACAGTTCCTCTCATCTGCTCGTTTATTTAATTTCTTCTTGCTTATTCGCTAATTTTCTCACTCCACATTTCTGTCTTTTTTTCACTATAATTTAATATACTCAATTCTAAAGGTTTGGAAACCTTAGCACAGTATTTTAAGAAACTTGTATTAATTATAGCGGTGCCCCGTGGCCTGGTGGCAAAAGCTCTTACTTCACACGGTGAGGGTGCGGGTTCCATTCCCGGCAAAGGGGTGGAAACATCAGATGTGTTTCCTTACACCGGGTGTCTGTGTTCACCCATCAGTAAAATGGGTACCTGGGTGTTAGTCGACTGGTGTGGGTCGCATCCTAGGACAAAACTGACCTAATTTGCCCGAAATGCTCTGCATAACAAGGGGCTTTCTAAATAGTAGTATGTCACTGATGTCAGCTAGGCCTGTATACCTTGTACATGTACTTGTAGTAAATAAAGATGTTATATTATTATTATATTATTATAGCAGTATGAAGAATTTTCCACTTTTTTCTATTAGGGTATCAAGGGAGAGATTGGTGACAGTATTCCTGGTGCTCCTGGTATTGCTGGTAGACAAGGACCACCAGGTTTTCCTGGTCTTCCTGGCAATGTAGGCTATCCTGGTCAACCTGGCACACCAGGAGCTTCTGGACAGAGAGGCTTAAGTGGAGATCGTGGTTTTGATGGCCTTGCTGGCCTTCCAGGAGATAATGGGCTTGACGGTACACCTGGAGGTCCTGGTCGGCCTGCCAGAGATGGCCGAAATGGTCTAAAGGGAGAACAAGGATTGATGGGAATTCCAGGTGAGTTGCTTTTATTCATTTTACAGTGCAGTGAATCCATGATATGATGGACCTCAGTATAATTGATTTTTAAATTATAGGCAAAATCCACTGGTTAAATTGTACTCTTAACCCTTTGGGGGTCGCCAGGCCCTCTCAGAGACTTGTTCTCAGGGTCGCCAAAATTTAAAAAAAAAAAAAATTATTTTTTCTTGTGAAAAGATAGAGAATATTTTCCCGATCATAATGACACCAAAAGTATGAAATTTGATGGAAAACTTAGGAATCATGGTCTCGCGAAGTTAGCGATCTCGACAATGTTTACACCGGCGATTTTGCCCATATTGAGCCCTATTTTTGGCCAATTCCAGTGTACTAGTCGACAAAAATCATAACTATTTCACTAGAAATCCATTTTTTCTATCGCATGAGTACAAGAAACCACCCATTTACTGATTTCAACTATCCAATAAAGTGGTCAGAATTTAGCAATTTTTCCAATTTCACACAAATTTCAAAAGATGCCAATTTCCGAATAGGGTCCAGAATAAACAAGAAAGACATTCCTGGCACTAAAATAACAAGTTCTCTGTTCGTTAGTCACATCCCCAGGCCCCTCTTATATTTCTTTGGCTTTCCACTTTGAATTTTTATTCTTACAAAAAATAGACTAATGCAGACTACTGCATTAGCGTAGAAATGGTATAAATAATATCAGCGCACTTGTGAAAGAATATTAGACTCACCAGTTGACGTGTATTGGATGCCTGGCATGATTTGTTTACTTTTGAATTTTGGTAAAAATCGAACATTTCTACTACTTTGAGCTCAATTTCGAGGTAATTTACAGTGTAAAGTAAAAGGACACAAGTGCAACTAATGTGACATTTATTGTGGCAACGTTTCGCTCCTGGAGAGCGAAACGTTGCCACAATAAATGTCACATTAGTTGCACTTGTGTCCTTTTACTTTACATATTGTCGGTAATTCTACCAACTTTATTAATTTACAGTGTAAAACCAGTCAAAATCATCTCAATTTCTGTAACATGTTTTCCATTCTATAAAATGAGACCAAGAAAACTAGAATACAACAATAAATACCATACAAAAACACAGTGCAAAGTCGCTGTTTTAATCCAAAAACACAGTCAAAGTTTTTTTTTTCTCATTACATACTGTGTGCTGCAGGATTTTTTTTATACTGCGCACACTGACCACATAGACCCATTCTTTCATATGTAGGCCTAACAGCTTTCTCTAAATTTGAGGGCGCTAGAATTTAGGCATACTAGTATACGTCAAAAACACTGGGGTGTAAGCCGTACTATTATTTAAAGACTGAAACCCCCAAAGGGTTAATTCCTTTATTTTTCATTATTTATGGCAGTGTATCTGTTAACTGTGTGTACAGTTCTAAATTAGGTATACAGTAGAGTACTTTATTGTACTTATTTTACTATTTTTAACACTGATATAAATCTTCTGTTAGTCTGTTATATTGAGGGTTTACTGTGTTTCACTGTAAAGTTTTTTTTTCTGTTGACGTTCATGTCATATGTCACCGAAATTTGCTTGAAACCAACTAGGCTGTCATGGTTTTTATAATATTGGGATACAAGAGGCAACTGCCTAAGCAAGAGTATGCTAATGATGTTAGTTAGGTCTTTATTATTATTATAGATTCACTACAAATCTTATGATTACAAGCATTGATCCTGATACCAACCTCTTATTTAATGACTTAAATGAATCAAACAGTAACTGTAATTACTACACTGCAGAACAATCAAAGGCACTCCTCAGTGCCAACAACAACATAACTATATTTAACTACAATATCAGATCTTTAAGCAAGCATTACGATGACCTCATAGCATTACTAAATTCCTTACATGCCAATATGTCCATCATTACCCCTAACTGAAACCTGGCTAAAGCCTAAATAGTAACAGATGTCTATGCCATTCCTGGTTACACAGCCATACACAACTGTAGGCCAGATCAACAAGGGGGTGGCACAGCCATATACTACTCAGACCAACTAGAATGTATCACTAATACTTGCACAAGGGATGAACATGGGAATTAAAATAGCTAAATTCAAATCAAAGTACCTACAAAAACCTCCCATTGATAAACATCTACAGAGTTCCACAGTCAAACATTAGCCAATTTAGTCAAAATCTAGGAAGTATGATAACGATGCACGCATGAACAAAGATCACTTACTACTCTCAGGTGACTTCAATATAAATCTCCTGCAAGACCAGGACCCACACGTTTACTGAATTCACAAACACAATGATAACTGTATGTTACTACCAACGTAACAAACCTACAAGAGTTACAGAGACTAGTGTTTCCCTACTTGACCACATCTGGACCAACACCATATCCCCTTTAAAAATCAGCATAATTACAGATAATACCACAGACCACTACCCTATTTTTCCTCATAACAACTCTTGGTAAACTACCCCAAGACACTACTAAAGTCACCTTCAGACTTCACAATGAGGCAGCCATTAATAACTTCACAACAGCAATAGCAAACATTGATTGGCACAACTGAGCTAGAAACCTATACAGATATTGACGAATGTATTAATAATTTTCTAAAAAAAACCCAATACCTCTATAACAAGCACTGCCCTAAAAAAACTAAACAGATGACAGCAAAGAGACTGAACAGTCCCTGGCTAACACCCAGCATTCTCAAATCCATAAATACAAAACCCAATATGAAAAACAGTACAAATGGGTCACAAAACCCAAAGACCAAACAAAACGTTACTCGTCAATCCTAACCAGCCTGATAAGAAGGGCAAAAAAATTGTATTATGAGAACAGATTATCCAACTTACAGGTGATATAAAAAAACCTGGAAAACCCTATCAGAAATTCTGGGAACAAAAAAGATATCACGAAATAGCGAAATAAAATTAGCAAAAACAGATGAACCCCAACCCCCACCAACAGAAACAGCAAACAGACTCAATGATTTCTTCTCCCTATAGGACAAAACCTCCCAAATAAAATCCCAAGCTCAGATACCCCACCAAATGACTACCTCACCGGCAACTACCCGAACACACTGTTCCCAGCTCCGACTAACCCATACGAAGTCTCCCTTATTATCAACGCACTAAAAAACAAGGGAGGAGTTTAAATACCTTACCACTCCTTATATACAAAAAAGTGTCACAAGTGCTATCACCAATCATTGCAACACTCTTTAAAAAAATCCATTGAATCCTCCACCTTCCCTACAGTACTCAAAATAGCAAGGGTCACCCCGATCCACAAAGGAGGAGACCAAACAGAGTTGAATAACTATAGGCCAATATCCAACTTACAACCCCTTCTCAAAAATCTTCAAAAATTAATTCATAAAAAGAATCTACTCCCACCCTTTTCTCCCAAAACATACTCAACCCCTGCCAATTTGGATTCAGGCCTAATAAAAATACTAATGATGCTATTATACACATGCTAGAACATATATACACTGCAATAGAGAAAAAAAAAAGTCCCACTGGGATCTTCATTGACTTACGTAAAGCTTTTGATACAGTTGACCATGAATTGCTCCACGTAAAATTGTCACACTATGGTATAAGAGGGCACTCCCTCAACTACCTCAAGTCTTACTCAGCAACAGAAGCCAAAAGTGTACGCAAATGGGGCAAACTCTTTTGCACAACCAATTACAGTTGGTGTCCCACAGGGAAGTGTCCTTGGCCCCCCTTCTCTTTCTCCTTACAAAATGACCTTCCAAATGCTTCGCAATTACTCAAACCCACACTATTTGCAGATGACACTACTTACGTCTTCTCTCACCCCCCCAGTCACGCTAGCCAAAACTGTAAATACCGAATTACAGAAAAATATCTACCAGGATGAGGACTAACAAACTTACACTAAATATTGACAAAACCCACTTCATTCAGTTTGGTAACAGAGCTACAGATTCCCTCTTAACATAATGATAAATGGATCACCTATCACAAAACTAACAGAGGGAAAAATTCTTAGGAATCCACCTTGATAATAGACTCAAATTTCATACACATATACATCAAATTTCTAAGAAAATTTCCCCAAGACTGTAGGCATACTATCGAAGATACGGTACTATGTTCCACAGTCAGCCCTCCTGGCCCTATATCACTCTCTTATTTACCCCCATCTCACCTATGGAATTTTTTGCATGGGGCCAACAACAATTAACCATCTCAGACCACTAATTACCCAACAAAAGGCTGCAGTTAGAAGATAACAAAATTTTCACTACAGGGAGCACACTCCACCAATATTCAATACACTAAACCTACTCACCATACAAAACATCCATACTTATTACTGCACCTATTACATACATAGAACACTAACTCTGATATTAACCCTCCCCTCAAACATCTCCTTGCCAACCTCAACAGAACACATGACCAAACACAAGGCACAGATCACTCTTTGATGTTCCTCGTGTCCATCTCACACTATGCAAAAACTCAATGACATAAAAGGCCCTAAAATCTGGAATTCATTACCTGTAAATATAAAAAAAAACACAACCCGTTTATAAATTCAAGTCTCTTCAAAATTTCTTACTCACCCAAAACCAAATAAATACTGAATAACTGAACATTTTAAATTGTATATCTTAAATGTTTCTCACAAAAATTTTATCACATAAATGTTAAACCTAAAAACCCAATCTAACTTTAAATTTTTTTTAAATACACTACCTAACAGAATCACTACCTAACTGAATGCAACTATATGACCTGTCTTTGTAATACTCACTTGTGCTTTATAGTTTCTGTTTACATTAAGTTTTATCACTGATTTCATCATTGCTTAGTAGCAGCGCTGTATAGTCCTTGTGGCTTAGCGCTTCTTTTTGATTATAATAATAATAATAATCATTGCTTAATTAATCTTAAGTTAATTTTAAGCCAGCCCGTAATGCTATGCATAGTATAAGTGGCTTGGCATAAATGCTCTTATCTGTATTTT